CCCATAGGCTGTAGCTTTTGCTCTGTGATAGCACAGCATCCTGCGATGGAAGTTGGCTTTCTTGGCTGTTTGTTCTGTGCTGATGAGTTTGTTATATGTGAATGAAATGCTTCAATTGTGTTTAATTTTCTGCTGTAAATGTCAAGGATGCAGTAATGAGAGAGGATGGAACCTTTCTGTACGTTGTGTGTTGCATCTGTCTGGAGTTTTTTTCCTGACACGTTAAAGAGGAACCATCAGAGCTGACTGCTACCCAAGGGAGCATGCAGTTTTACAGGTCAGTTAACCACTTAGCAGTTTTGTATATGTACAGTGCAGCACACCACTTTCATGTGACCAAACATTGCTGAGCTTAGTCTGAAATACATCTGGTGTGCCCTGGATATACAACCATGCTAACCAACTATTTGACACATCTCTAATTCCTTTCCGACACAAACTGCTGCTGTATGCCCTGGGTTTTGCTATCAGTGCAGCCCATGCACCTCATTGCTGACCTCTGAGGCTGTCTGTGCTGTAGTTATGGTGGTGATTAATGTGGTTTGCTCAAGTTAGCTCTGACACTGGTTGTAGTTGAATAGTGCAGCAGAAAGTAGCTAATCTGGTTATTGGGTTCTGCAGCCTACAGGAAATTTGAGTTTGCACCATTTAGGTGGCTTCTGTACTGGTGCAAGCTATTCTGAAGTTGGCTTGTACTAGAAATCTTGGGTGTCTTTGATTTTTCGCTTTGAGTAGAAGTATCTAAATGTCTAGGTTTAGATACCTTCAGTCTCTGTCCTAAGTGTTTTTTCTCAGCTTGAATGGTTTCCCAGAGTAAAAGGTAAAAAGAGAATCTTGCCTCTAATTCCATCTGGGATTGCTGTTCTACCCAGTAAAGCCAAGTGACAGCGTGGTAATCACTGTGGATTTTGGACTAGTTTAAGGAGCTGTCAAGTCCTAAAGCTTTCAAGTTCTCTCTCTTCTTGGCTAGTCTGATTTTTTTCATCAGGGTGGAAATAGTAGCAAATGCATACACATCTTCCAGCTTTCCCTCGCTTTGCAATACCAAGCCCATAATTCTCCTTCCAAAAGGGGAAGCTGTCAGCAGCAACGAGCTGGTAGCCATTGTGCTATGTTTGAAGCCTGCCTGTGGGATCTGTGTACTGATGATACTGCCTTAAATCGGTTCTTGAAATAAGTTTGTGTGTTTGTCTTTGAGAGCCGTGTGGCTCCTTGATTAATTGATGGACATTTAGACCAGCACTCTACTCACTGCTGCAGCACTTATGATGGAAATTCTGGAAGAACCTTGCTTTAACCTCCCAGATGCTCAGCACTTCTTCATGGGGTTTATATCCACATAGAAGTAAATTTGCCAAGACAAATGAATGCAGTTATTGACTGGAACAGCCGTTACCTGCTGCTGTTGAACAGTTAGGAGAGGGTTAAGAAGAAAACCTCTTCTGAACCACTAGATTGGCCCTGACTAAGATGAATGTCTAATTCACTCCTAGCGTCCTTACTGCTGCCAGTAATAAAAAGCTTGCTTCACATATTCACCCCACTGCAGACGTTTCTCTTAAATTAAATATCAAGAGGACATATAATAGCACGATTCCACACCAAGCCAATATTATCAGATTGATGTCAGCAGTGATAATAGAAGAAGGATAAGTTGATGAGATTTCATTTGTTAAATAAAGTAAAGGGAATACGCAGTGATAGAGAGGATTTGGTAACTCTCGGTGTGTCAAAATGCAGCAAGATCACATTCGTTCCATCTTACCTCAAGGGATGGCAGGGAGAAGGATGCCCTTTGTTTCATTTAAAGAAAACCTATCCCTTCTTTTCCAGCCGAAGACCTGATTTTAGATCCCTCAGTGGGAGAGTGAGAGGGAGATCTGAAATCATGGCTCTTGTGTGTACGTAGCCTTCTGTCCCATTGCACAGCACAGAAGCTGAGGATTTTCTCCACTGTGACTGGGGAGGTGCTGCTAATGAGTTTTATTTCTAGATTAATCCTTTTTTCCCCCACCTGTAATCTCTTCTCCTTTCCTCTTCCTTGGTTGTGTATTATTGTTTTAATCTTTCATATTTTGTATGCCCTGCATTTATATCTGGGGTGTTGTCAGAGCTCAACTCCTGTGGCTCCTTGTTTGTGGGTATTTTCCTAGCCCTTCCTCAGACCTTTTTCTTTATCCCCCCTTTTTTTTTAGCTGCTGTAAATGAGCCTCCTGCATCTGTTTTCATAATAGCAGTAGCAATTGCAATGCATTTATTTTAGACAGAGGCTAATTGCCTACCTTTCTTGGGGGTAGCATATTACACTTAAAACTGTGACCCATTTTAGAAGAAAAGTCAAAGCTTACTGTTCTTCTGCTCTTTCTGTATCCACACCTCATTCCTTCTCCACCACGTTCTTTCCCCTTCATTGTGTAAAACCCTCCAGCAGCAAAGCATTTACCAAGAGCAGTGTCCAGAAGACGATGTTTTCCTGAAGATGTTATGTACTGCCTATAGCCCTGTGCTGGGCTGAGGTTGAAGGGATGTAGCTGACAAAGCTCTCCCTCCTTTGGAATTCAGTGTGCCACTGCCCTCAGCCAAGATGTGCTCCATTGGACTTGGGTGACTGGCACGTTCCTGGAGTGTGCAGGATGTGCTTCCTTGTGCTGGGCTCACGTTTCCTGGCCTCTGCATTTCATAGGTCACACCACGTGGTGGGACACAGAGGGACAGTCCTCTGAGCAGCACTGCCTTCCTGCTCCGAAGTGAGATGTCATTCTCTGTAGGATTTAGTTGGTTTTGTTGAATTTCCAGTTCATTTGTGGATGCGCTCATAAATGGATTTGTGGGATTTGTGTTGATAATTACGTCAGCTGATTTTGTGCTATGTTGATTAGATTCTCTAAATCTCTTTTGAGAAGGTGGTACAACTGATGCATAGCTGGAGTTTCTCCATTATACTTGTGTCGTGTAGTTTGGTTCCAGTGAATTCAGACCTCTCTGTGACATGCTCTGCCTCTTCCCTCCCCCAGCCCTCTGCCTGAAAATTACAAAATGCCCTTCAGTTTAACATGGCTGAGTTGGAAAAACCTAATTTTAAAAGTCTTAACTTCTTCAATGAATTGAGGGATTTGATGGTATTTCCTGACCTGGTATTGTTTGGTATCATTTCTACAGTCTCACTGATTTGATTAGAGTGATATTAAAGTTAGTGACAAAGCAAAATGCCGATATTATGAGTTTTTGATGCTCTCTCTGGTTTCTTTTCTATTCCAAAATTTGAAGATTTTTTTGGAATATGGATTTTTCAGAGGCTTTAAAGGTGATTTGCTATGGAACATAGAAATTACTAATGCACGCTCACCTCTGGGGACTGCATACAAAACAAGTTTCTTCTAAAAGCTGTATGGTTAGAGAAGAGGGGGAAAAGAAGTCTGTGTTGTATTTTGGTGGCTTTCTGATCCAAGTGTTTCTGAGCGTGGCTGTTCACATTGTTGCTGATAAATTCTTAGTTAGAATCATAGGGTCCTTAGAAGAAGAGACCTTTAAAGGCCATCTAGTCCAAATCCCCTGCAACGAACAGGGACACGCACAGCTAGATCAGGTTGCCCAGGGCCTGATCCAGCCTTGCCTTGAAAGCCTCCAGGAATGGGATATCAGCCACATCACTGGGCAGCCTGTTCCAGTGCCTGCTCACATACGTTGCAGAGTATGACTGAGGACTGAAGTATTGTTTGGAGTATGTCTCAACCCAACTATTTTGAGGAAGCAGTGATGTTGCTGATTTTCTTCTTTTGTCCTTTCCACCTGCCTTGCTGAGTACCTTACCAAAATGAGTGTGATTTGGAAATTCCTATCTGTGGTCTCCAAAACACATTTGGATGGTCTGGCTTCAAGATGTCATGTTTCTTAGAAATCTTTCACCTGAGAGAGAATGAAAGATGTCCAGGAATAGGTCGTATTTTCTTTGTACCTGGTTGGGAAACCCTATTGTTTGAATGAGTGCCTGTTGTTACTGTGGAAATGAATGTAGCACAGCATAGTATTTGTGCCTCCCTGTAACATCAGGTGCTTTGGAAAGAAGAGGTGCATTTGATCTTTTAGCACAGATCTCTTTAAGCACGCTGAGGCAGAGAATGCAAGGAATTAAGTGGATTTATGATTTAGAAGGCAGTGTCTTAGTGCTGCTACTCAGCACATGTTCTCTGCTGAAATGTACTGTGGCAATTGTGCTGCAAATTCCTGCAATTTGTGTCTGCCTGTCTGTGCAGCTGATGACACTGCTGTTACTGTGCTTGTGCCATTGTGGCTCAGATTATTTTACAATGACTTTCCTCTTATTGGTACTGTTGCTGAAGATGTGCCATATGTACCCATGCATATGATAGTCTAAAAACATCATCTGTAATTGTTCTTGAGTAGCTGTCAGTGCTGCTTATGGGACGTGAGTACTAATTGCTTCAGAAATACAAAGAAGCAGATACCTGGTCTTGCTATTATTCCCTTTTTTGTTTAGTTACTAGTAGAATTACAGTACTCACCACCATGCTGGATTTTTTTTTAAAATGTTTAAATAGATGAGAATTCAGTAGGTAGAGGTAGCTCATTCAATGAGTCCATTCAGTTCCTTGTCAGCCTGTTATAGATCTGGTGCAGGCCCAGACAGAATTCCTGACTTCTGTCAAAGATTTCCAGTGTGACTTGGGGAAATCATTGAACCTCTTGGAATTGATTTTTCTTAACTGTGGAGGAGACACGGTATTTTATCTATGGGTAAAACAGCCTCCCACACTGACCTAGTAAGAATACATTCCATCTTTCTGCTTAGTACTCTGGATTTTTCAGCTGGAAGACATCGTTGGTCATTTAACCCACTTTGGTGATTGCTGCTCCTACTGGTTTCTGTATTTTTTCAGGCTAAGTGACTACAACACAAGATTAGTATGTGCCACTAGTCAAGTGGTAGTCAGTGGCTGAAAACTCCCCTTGCACATCTTTCTGTTCCGTTTTGCCCACAGGAGGAGGAACACTGATCCTGTCTGTGCGAGTCTGCAGTCTGAAATTCTGAAGTGCTATCAAGAAAACCAACGTGAAGTGCTCAAATGCTCGGAGCTGGCTAAGGAGTATCAGCGCTGTGTTAGTGCGGCTCAGAAGGTAATAAAAGCTTCCCTGTTATACTTGCTGGCTTTGCTGACTGTTCTGCATAGTGATTTCTTCTGGGAAATGTCTCTGGGATGTGTGGTATCTTTCAGTCAAGATGGGGTGTTTATAGGAGACAAGTTTTTGTCAGGATGCATTTTTTGCCTATTCACATTGATCCAGTGCTGCCCAGTCTCACTTGGTATGTCCAGCTTCTTTCCCACCAGTGCCCCTATGGTGTTCAGCTGCCACCAAAGCAGTAATATGGATACTCCTTGGCTTCAAAGTCAGTCATAATGCTTTTCCCACTTTTCACCTTCTTGGATGCTGCGTTCTGCAAATGGTAGTTGCATCTATTTGCCAATATTAGCGATGTTTTGGGCAGGCTCTAAACATTCCTGCTTCCAATATGGGACCTCACAATTATCAGTCTTGCTTCTTTTCATGGTTGCACTTGTTAAGTCGCAAAGCTGCTGACTCTTAAGGAACCTGCATGCTTCTAAAAGCTGTTTGTGTTGTGCAGAGGTTCAACAAGCTGTTATGGCTCTGCCTTCAGAGATGCAGAGCACTCCTAGCTTCTGTTGATTCCTTAGGACAGTGAGTGCTGAGCACCTTGGAAGAATCTGTGACTTTGAAAGCAGGTGAAGGAGAAAGGAAAAAGGAAGCATTTGGATGTTACAACTAGGATATGGTCTTGGGAAATGTGTGTGATAAGACATAGTGATGTCTGGAGTGTAAAGGATTTTGTTACCCATGTAAGAATTCAGTGGGTCAAATGTCCCTCGAGGGCAGACTTCTTTTTTGGTTATAAAATAAAATCTCTAATGGGTCTTGAGACTATAGCAGGGTGGGTTTGGGGAAGGGATGGAGCCTTCTGGGAACAGAAAACTGAGACTCCTCTCTTGGGATTATTAATGTGAAGGCGAAGGGTGGGGGAAGGTGGAGATTTCATAGAAGCAGTCTTTCTCTGTCGCATTAGCATTGTGAGGGGAAGCTGTATGCCTGATTTAAGTATAACATGAAACAAGCTGCCAGCCGGCTCCCAGAAGAAGCCCGACAGAAGGAGATGGGAAAATTGTCAGGATATATTAGACCAAATGTTGTTGCTAGTCCTGGTGGAATTTTTTTCCTTCCTGTTTACAAAGAAGGTCTTTGTATGTCTGCAAATCAGCAAGGTTAAAGCTGCCAGGAAAAGGGCTTTTCTCTGATATCTTTAAAGTCCCCAGCTCCCAAAACATGTGGTTTCTTTTTCTTCCTTAGCTCTAAAGTAAAGCAGTGCCTTTGCTGCTGCACAATCCGTGCCCTCTGTTGCTGTGCGCAGAGTGCTGGTGCATCCGCTGCCAGCCTCTGCTACCTGATGCTTCCTCCTTACCTCCTGTAAATCAGGCTCGTAGCCTTTTTGGTGGAGTATATCTTTAGCAAATGCGTTTACCAATACATCTTTATTGCATGCAGTGCGGGCGGAATGTGATTACCAAAGAAGACAGATTGCATTAAACTTCAGCATATTTGCAAGCTGCGGCTCCAAGCCGCCTGAGAAAGGGGCTGGGATGCTGCCAGCCCTGAGCCCCAGCCCAGCATTATTAAAGAGTAAATTGGAAGCTAAATGACTGGTAACAGCAGAGGGCAGTGAAAGATCCTATTAAGTTGGAGCTTGCTTAGATTGTATAGTTTGGGTTTTTTTTTTTTCTTGGTATGTTTTCTTATAAACCAAAGAACTTGGAGAGGTGGTCTTAGTTGCCAGAGTGTTCAGAGAATTTTCTTCCCCATTCTTTTGGTAAGTTCCCAGAAGAAGCAGTGCATAGGACATGAACTTGCTGTGGGTGATGGCAGTATGACAGTGAATCTCCTTGCTATGCTTTCAGAAGGAGGAAGAGACACTGAGGCACAGGTAGCTGAACCTTGCAGCTGGATACAGGCATGAGAGGGTTCTGCAAGTGCAAACCCAAATAAGGTGTTTGCAAGGCAGAACATCCTGTATTTTCTTTTATTCCAGGACATCTCAAGCCCTGACAAATTGCCTTGATGCTCTTACTGCTTCCTCTGGCTCCTGAGATATATATGTAGCGATCACAAGCTGTTGTGCTTTTTCCTGGACTGTAAAACTCCCTCCTCCCTTTCCTATTTAAGCTGTTATTTTTCTTTAAGTTTAAATTAGCAGCATCTTCTACCAAATGGCTTTTCGTCTCACGCATTCCTCATTTGGGTTGGAGGAATGTGGGAAAGAGGGGTCACAATCTCTTGATTTCTTGGTTATTTTTTTTCTTTTAAACAGAATTTGTTTGCTATTATAGAAAGATGTTATAATCAAAGCTGGATGTGGGACTTCAGCTCGCTGGCACGCTGGTGATTTGTTCTTCTGCTTTTTACTAAAGATTTTATAAGGCTTGGTGAATATTCTTTAATGAAGCATCTGGTTCTCTACAAGTTCTTTTTGATGGCTGGTAAAATGTCTCCAAGGCATGGATACATCAAGCTCAGAGAAAGCAAGCTCTGGATTTCTAGGCTGAAAATTACAACTTATAGTGGATGACTGTAATTCCTTGCATCTTCCCCCTTACTTTGTTGCTTTGAGACCATTCCTTTGGGCACCCATTTCCCTTTGCCTGTTGCTGTGTGCATTTCTCATCCAGGAGGTGAGATGCAATCTCAATTACCTCTGCCCCACAGAAATATATCAGGTAATAATTTCTGAAATTTGGAAACTTATTTTCTGCCCTCCTTTCCTGTATAGGCCCTTTTGCTGGAGCAGGTTGCTGTAGTGCATGATAGAGGTGTAGTTGCTGTTACCTCTTTTGTATGTTTTCTGCTCGGCAGAGGACAGAAATAGGCACTACGAGGGCATGGTGCATCACGTCCTAGAACAGTCCTCCTTTAGAGGAGGTCAGTGGAATTGCCATCTATGAGTGACTATTCTACTGCTTAGGCACACCAAAGCCATCAACTCCAAACTTTTAGTGCCTATAGTTGGATGTTATTGCAGTGATCCTCTTCTAGTTGCTAGTCTGCTCTCAGCATCCCCTATCTAACATACTTACTAGCTTTGCTGTTTATTTGTTCTGAATGTTAAGTTTTGTTTGTGTTCTCATGCGCTCTGGCTTGCTCCCTGCAACCTGAGCTTTGCTTATGTCTAAGCCCTCTGACATCAGAGCATGTTGCTGTAATGCCTCCTGTTTAATTTAGGAGTGCTTAATCTTTTCTGGTGGTCTGTTTTTGTGGCTCTGCAGAACTTCGGCAAGCATAAGAATTGCTGGTTTTAAATCTAATAAAAGCTGGGATAATGGGACAGCTGTGGGAGGGGCAGTTCCCATTGTGTCTTTAAAATTGCCTGTAGTTTATTGACCACAAGTTTCACCGAGAGCTACTGCTGCCGTTAGATAATGAGAATTGAAAATTGCTGCTGCTGTTTCCCTGAGGTTTTATCTCGTGCCAATGAGAGGAGGGTGTGGAAGGAAAAGGAGAGTGGGTAGTGGAAATCTGTGCAATTTCTTTTTTTGGACCCCAATAGAAAAGAAAAAACATTTTTTAGAATGTAAGTCCTGCTGCTGAATTGCTTTCCTGCCCTGCAGATGTGCACTCGTGCAGGTTTTGTTAGGATCTTTGTGACCTCCTTTGCTTCCTCTACGTCCTGTTCACACCAGTGGGTGAATCTGAGTTTCCATAGAGTTTTGGATGGTTAATCTGTTATATAACTGGTGTTATGTGAGGGAGTCTCTGACCAGCTGCCACCTGAAAAATGTGGCCTTTGGTGACCACATATTGACATGATTCAAGATTGTGACCAGTGCTGCTGCTTACAGTTGTGTGCAAACAAATGCCTGCTGCATCCCTGTTCTTCTGAGCATTCTCTTAATGTCTCTAAGCTCCTCTTTCACAGAGGGACCAAGGTGACATTTCTGTGCTCTAGCTGCTGGCCAAACCAAGTTATGAAGAGCTGCATACTTAGACACGTGTATTCCCTTGTCAGTAGGAAGTGCATACACTGAGCTAGGAGCCATTCATAATTCTGCGCCTCTTCTCTCTGTTCTACATCCAGCTTCTCACGAGTCTGCTATTCATAACAGACAAAGGTAAACCTATTTCTATCAAGGCTTTAGGGCTTGTCTGCATAAGGAAATTACAATGCAATAAACTGGTGAGTGAGTTTATTGTATAGCAACTTCTCTGTATGTGAATGTACTCAGTTTGTAATGGAAGCAAAGGGAAAATTCACCCTCATTTACTGTGAGTCACTCTGCTATGCAAACAAGCCCTGGCAAAAGACAGACTAGATTCCAGCAGATGTAGATGTCTAACATAACCTTGAGTCTACTACATTCTCCTTTACCCTTGTGGTCAATTTACTGCTCCTACTTTTGACTGATCTCTATGGAAGCCCATTTCCCATTCAACACACAGCAGAGCATTGCAACTCTGCCTGAAGTTTACTTCTGATTTGTGAGCGGTGACCTACATTACCATTGCTGAGAAGATGCAGCTGATAGTCACGCAGTGTCCCTTCCTGATGGAATAGCTTCATTCAAGCATTTGGATCCTGCAGGAGCCTGGCCTGCTGTGAGCTGTTGTTTCCCCAACCTGAATCTGTCTGCCAAAGCTAATCAGCTCCAGGAGACACAGGGTACCACGGACTGTATTGCAGGTAACTCAGATCATCTTTAGCTTCTTGTTATGGAATTGTTTCCATCCTGATGGACTGTAGAATGCTTTATAGATTTGTTGACGTACCAATTGGGGTAGAGAGCTGCTGGGAGTGTCCCTGTCTGGAGGAGCTGTAACCAGGTACAGTGACTTGAGAAATGCCCGCGTTCTGCTTCCCTCACTGACATTCTGCAGATCTAAATCTGAGCAATTGAAGCCTTGTAGAGAAGATATATCACGAGGTATGCTACTTGAAATACAGTATATCTAACTTGGAAGGCTTTAGGGTTGTTTGAGCTTTCTGAAATTCAGCTTTGTGGTTTGAGATAAATCTGTGTATTTGGTACCTGGAGCGTGATATCCTAGCCATACCCTCA